TCTTCAAACATATGCCGTTCCCCCTGTTTTCATAGAAAAAGAAACATAATGTCCCTCTATTATAAAGAGATGGATTGAGTGAACTTCTGTTCTTTGAAATATATCAAAACAGGTATTTAAACACTGTAATCACTAGAAGGTTGTAGGATAATAAGTAATTAGCAGGATGAGCTTATAAAGAACAAGTGATGTAGCACTAACCTTATTTTCTTCTGTGACATAGTAATTGGCCATGTGGATACAGGAGAAGTAGTAAATGGCCTATCTTAATTTGGTCGTAGATGATATAAGCAACTTGGGGATATATAGTAAAGGAAATCTAATAACCTGGTGAATAGAACTCTGGTTAGAAAATCATATTCAAAGGATAGTTATTAATGTTGTTCTGTCAAAATAGAAGTTGCATTAAGTGTGTTTAGAAAGGTCTTTTCTTAAATCAATAATTTCACCATTTTTACAAGTGATTTAGATGCTGAAAAAAACCTAATTTTCTTTATTACTGAAATAGTACATGAATATGTAATGTTTCAATAAGGACAAGTATGCTTTAGGTACAATAAGGACAAGTAGTATGCTTTGAAATACTGATTTGCATGATTGAAAGAGGGAGAACAAACAGCTAGATGGCCTTTCTGGGCAAAACAGTTAGGAGATTCAGTAGATCACAAACTGAATATAATGAGAGATGCATAAAAATGTGTAAGACACCTAAAATGTATGCATTGTAACTCTTCCAGTTAGCTCTGGCAAGACCTCGTCTGGAGCCTTATGCCGTAGGCTTGGGCAGCCCATTTTAAGAAATTGATGAGCCAGAGGGAAGCAGCAAAGATGATCAAAAGTCTTAAAAATCTGAGATTGTAAGGATAAGGTTTGTTTAGTCCAGGGAAGAGAGAATTGAGGAGAGATGGGAGAGCAGTCTTTAAGTATGTAGAGACTGCCATGGAAAGGATAGAAACAAATTGTTCTTTGTGTTTGTTGGAAACTGAGAAAAAATACAATGTGCTTAAACTTCAGTGTGGGGAACTCAGGTCAGACACAAGGGTATGTAAGATGATTAAGTGCTGGAATAGATCCCTCACCAGATACAATACTTCAGGGCCCTTTGATGCCCTTCCAGCCTTCTTACATGGCATGAAGAATCCCTCTCCAGCAGTTCAGTTTAGGAAATGTTTTGTGTAAGTGGAACTGAGAAATGCTAGAAGGCAAGGTGCAGAGAGAAGCTCATATTTTGTATTGGATGGAGATAGCTGGGTCAGAGGAAAGTTCATGCAGGAAAGATAAGGTAGTGTGAGCAGATGGGGTCACTCAGAGGTCGAGAAGAAGAAAATGGACCTGAAATCAAATGAGGTTTTGGTAAGGTGTGAATCCCACCATGACTCCAAGTAAGAGAAGGTGGCTCACTACATTTGATACTTAAGCAACTTCCAGAGAAACCCACTGAAACTGTAAATATAACTAGAATACCTTGACTTTTCTAATTTCGTGTCATTGCCCAAATAATGTCATCCCAATGTGGCATAAGACATTTAATAAAAGCCGTCTTCAAACACTCACCATTTGATTAGGTGGCTGTCATCAGCACATTACACTATAAAAGTAAATTTCATTATGCTTCATGAACTTGTTTGACAGAAGAGCTGCAAAAAGATTTTATGCAAGAAATGGTGTTTTAAGAACAAAATGTAGACTTTTGAAGAAATTCTTCCCTTTCATAGTGTTTTGAGTACATATGCTGCTCTACACATATGTCAGCTTGCTGTTAGGAAAAATTAATCCCCCATTATTTCATACATCGTTGAGCCTCTTTGGGAATTCCTGCTTTGTGCATTTGGCTGATGAAGCAACCTTTTTCTTCAAGATTCAGTATTTTATGCTGCTTACTGCTAACCCCAGCTATCCAAGGCCATGTGGTAATTCTGGTTAAAAAAAAATGAGTTATATTAACAGAATATTTGAGGGACATTCATAATAGAATCTTAAACTTCATAAATGACCTGGGCAAGTTTGCTTTTTGCCTAATTATCTACAGTGCACTATTACCAACCTGCTCTTTCAATATAACAGTAAGCTGATAACAGAATACAAGACAAAATTATAGTGGAAAGCTACAGCTGTGCCTAAGTACAGCAGTTACTGTGTTTTACTCAAATCCAGCTAATCCAAAGATCCCCCTCTTGGATGCGCATAACCCTTCTCAAGGTGTGTTTTCATGATTAAAATTAAAAAAAAACAAACGAACTAACAAAAAACCCAAACAAACCTAAAGCAGCAGGAACGGAATTTAGACCTAACTGATGATGTGAAGGCAAGTAGCCTGTACTGTGAATATGTATTTTAAATGGTTGTATTCAATGTGTTTTGATGCGTTAAAACTGCACCTAGACATTCCCTTCAAAAATGCATCCTTGGCTAAGTGTTTTTGCACAGCAAGAATAAGTTTCTCCCTCAAAGGGTTTCCAAACTAAATAAATAAGAAAGAAAAGGGATGGAAGTGTGCAAGGAAATGAGCATGTTCAAGATTCTGCGCCAGGGAACTGGAAATACTATCAGTAGCATTTCTGAGTCCCAGCCCAGTGACTCGGTGAAGCACACTGCCTGAGGAAATCAAAGATGCACATACAAATACTTCTTGAAGGTTGAACTGTGTCTGGCTTGCTCATAGTATTTGTTTTGTTGATTTCAAAAGGCTACTCATATGAATACAGTGAAGACAGTTTAGCCCTAGAATTTTCTAGTCTTTCATTTATTTAGGCTGTTTATATCCTTTCTTCAGTTGATGATGGATCAGCAGATCTTCTTCATAAAGATATCTCATGAAGTCTTCACCAGACTCTACCCACTTTTCTCTTTCTTTATTCTCCCTTTACACTGTCTATTCTGTTTAAGTAATTATATCAAGTTTCTGGTGACACAGAGAAATGTCTCTTCTTTATTACAGAAGATCTCTCAGTGTTACTGTTTCTCTACAAACAGTCCTTTTCCATTACTAGTATTGTTTCCTTCTGTTGAATTCAGTATATTTCAGATTATTTTTCCCCAATATCTTAGCTTATGAGACAGGTTCTTTGTACAGTTGCATGGTGAGATACCTGAAACTAATCTGTTTTTCAAAGGATTAATATATCTCCATTTATTTTAATTCATAGTTCAAAAATGATGGCTTTGTTTCTGGGTTCTTTGATGGAATTGAGCACCTAAATCTGTGCTCTGCACAGTCATAGATCATGAAAACCTCAGCAGAATCATCAATATTTGTCTTTTGCTGAAAATAAGGTCACTGAGCAGCATCTATATTGCTCAATTATGTGTATTATTATTAAGTAACATCGCTATGTTACTCAAAGTAAGTACCCATTACTAAGAGTTTCACCCATGAAATCTGCAGCACATCTGCTTCTGTAAAGCTTTTATAATGCCATGGAAAACAGAATATAGGGCTCAAACCAATGATTGTAATGACCTGGAGAAGAAAGTCTGATCCCAAATCTTATCCCTTTTTTCTGTTTGATCTAATGTGAAGCAATTAGTTGTTGATCTAATAAAAAATATTACCTCTTCCTGCAAGCTTTACTTTTGCATAGTGTTTAACATGTTAACTTTTCAAAGTTCTTGAAACAAATATAAGCAAAGGAAACTAATACCCAAGTATTCTGGTATCTCAAGCTTTAGTGAGACAAGAATAATTTGTTACTCAGCTACTAATTTATTTGATAAGTGTGGCCCATAACATCATCTCTTGTAAATCTTGTGGTACCTGGAAAGTAAAAAATTACAAGACTACAGTAAATGTATTCTTCATTAGTATGATTAGACACAATTTACGAGTGTTTGTATTAAAAAGAAAGATGGGTTTGTTTTCCAAGGTAAGAGTTGAAGTCAAATCTGGGTTCAGCTGATGACTGGAACATGCACTCTGTAAAACTCAGTGATGTTTCCCTTAGAACCTGATTCTTCCACCTGCATGTTAAATAAAACTGTTATTCTGGCAGTTGCTTAAGGGCATGTCAGCCTGGATCCCATGGCAGAACAGATTGTTGAGAGAAGACTGAAAAAACTAGTTGAAGAATAAGCACTAATGAGAATGGTGGGTTAACGAGCTGCGGAACCCCACAGTGTTGTTTGGACCCCAAGTGTATTTCCACTAGAATTAGCTCACACAGACCTTTCTCAGGCCTCATACACAGTGTTCCAAAGTAAGGTCTGAGTGGCTAACCCTGCATCTCTGAACTTTATCTTCTTTGGCACTTCAGTGCCAATCTGGAGTGCACTTGTGAAATGGATCTCTTCATAGCTCCCACTTGTGTTTGCATCAAGGGAAAGCTATGGAATATGCAAAATGACATCCTTCCAGGTGAAGCTTAGATGGGAGATTATCTAAGAGCACATCTAATGCATTTGAATTTCTAATCAGCATTCAGTCCATGGGATGTTAAGTTTGAATCCTCTGCACGGTGTTTCATTCTGCAGATCCAACTCTATTGCACTGGTTGCTAATATAGCCATAGCCAAAAAATATACCTGCTCCCTAAATCAGGACATTTTGCTACAGAAAATGCATTCAAATAAAGCAGTGTTGGGATGACTTTATCAATTATGGAACTTCACAGATTTCACTGGCATTGAATGACAGTTAATCAGTGACATTACAAAATATGCAAATCTGGATCAAATCATTAATATAGGCAAATATAGGCAAAATATTAAAGATATAAATGACAAAGATATAAAATGACAGTTCTTTAATTGTATACCACCTCAAGAAGGTGAAATAAGTACCTTCCAGTAATAATTTATCAACTAGTGAAAACTACAAAGTTGCTATGAATTCAGAAATGTAAATATCTCTATTAGATGAAAGCCTATAAATCTCATAAACTCTGTTATGGGAGTCACAGAATTACTCAAAAAAAAAACCAAAAGAACATATTTACTAAAGAAGAAACTGTGTTTAGACTTCAGTTTCCCAAATCCTCGTCATACCATTACTCATTCTCTCCTAGGAGGAAAGATCCTGAATGCATCATGCAGAGGTTTGATCAACCAAGTGGCTGGATTTGGAACAGATTTTTGAGGAAGCTTGTGTCACTTCAGTGAAGTGGCTTGAAGGATAATAGAAGCACGTCCAGTAGATCTGTGTCAGTGCAGAGTCCAGTTCTTGTGTTTGTCAGACATGTGGCCAAGAAATACTCTCACAGCCTAGGAAACTAGCTGTACAGCATTTCGTGTCTTGGCAAGGAAGGTAGCATTAAACAATCTTTGCACCTTTTAGTGACACCCCAGAGAACGGAGAAGTGTTTGGTTTAATTTAGACAACACTGTCTGTAATTTCCTAAGCATTGCATGGCATTTAACCCCCTTTGAACTTATTTCTTCTGACCTCAGAGTGCTTCTTATACTTGGAAAGAGGTCCTAGAGGAAAAGTTTTATGGTTGCCCCTCTATATTGCTCAGGCAGTCCTACTCTAGACAAATGCAGAAATTTTAGTCTGTTTACACCATCTGTCATTTTTGTTTGTTCTAAATCTTACATTAGAAAACCTTATCTTCTAAACGTAAGGTAGTGACCACATTAAAAGGGTTCTAATGTTTTGACTAGATTGCATATGCCAGTGGTCCTTATGGTGCCGTCTCAGAGGTTATAATGGAAAAAGATCATGTTTTATGCAATATTCCCAGAATTATTTAATGAAGCCTATGGAGAAGATATCCTTTGGTCTTTTTTTTTTTTTTTAATTATCATCATTTCTATAATAGCTTTTATAAAATTCTAACATTTTTCTTCCTTCTTACATTTTATGGCTTTTCCACAAGTACCTTCTCAAGCAGACAAAAAATATATCCTGGGTGTAAGCTGTCAAGTTTGTTAGTAATGTGTGGAGCTGAACTATGCAAAGACATTCCACTTGGACTCATAGAAAAGTCATGAAAGTTTAAATTTAACTGTGGCCTAAAATTGCTAATCATCTGAAAAACAACACCTAACCTTACCCAAAAAGATGACTTACTGTTAGTACCACATCCTGTCTTCCCAAATGCTTCTATAGCTCAGTGCTCCACTATCCCTCTCAGCTGACCTATAATTCTCTGTCCTATAAAAGAGGGCTTTGCTGTCATTTTCCTGTGGTTTTTCTCTTTCTCAGGCACCTCCTTCAGCTTTCAGCACCGCATTGCAAGCTCCAGATCAAATCCTGCTTTCACATACAGCACAGTGAGAGGATTATGGCCCCCCTTACCCTTTTCCATTCACTACAGTTTTATGAGTGGTGTTTCGTTTCAGTACAGAGGCATGCTGAGCCCTATGTACTACTACTCTGCACTTACATTCAGTTATTTCTACCTGGGCAGCTGGCACTTGTGACCTGATGGTGTTTTACAGACTTTACCTCATTGTTACTAACAATACAAAGGGCAAAAAGCAAGAGTAAGTAACTTGGACCCTGTCATACTGAATTCTATCATTTATATAGCATGTGAGCACACCTAAATCTCAGACTCTTCATTAGGGACTGTAGTGATAGGACAAGGGATAACGGGTTAAAACTTAAACAGGGGAAGTTTAGATTGGATATAAGGAGGAACTTCTTTCCTGTTAGGGTGGTGAGGTACTGGAATAGGTTGGCCAGGGAGGTTGTGAATGCTCCATCCCTGGCAGTGTTCAAGATCAGATTGGACGAGGCCTTGGGTGAGATGGTTTAGTGTGAGGTGTCCCTGCCCATGGCAGGGGGGTTGGAACTTGATGATCTTTAGGTCCTTTCCAACCCTAACTATTCTATGATTCTATGATTCAAGAAATACATGAGAAATTTTCACAGAAGATAAAAATACACCTTAGGCATGAATTGTCCTTTCTCTTCTTGTGTTTTGCAAAATAAGCCCTTTGCAAATGCAAATAGGATGGCAGTAAATAAGATAATTCAGCAAAACCTAATTCATAAAAATGAAAATGTATACTCTCTTCCCTCTGGCAATATATTCCAATGTTTAAGTCAAGCTTCATATTTCTTTTAAACAGTCTTTAAACCTGCCTCAATGGAAAAGTTATTCCAAAGTTTGAAAATATCCGCTATCATATTATTTATGAACTCAAAATATTTTTCCAGGACCATATATTATTTCTAAGCTTCTTCCCTGTGAGACCCATTATGAAATGAACTTTAAAGCTACAGTTAGAAGGTGAATTTAATACCAATCATATAAAGTTCCAGTCCTGCAAACACATTTGTGTCTAACTTTAAGCCAATGAATATTTCTACTAACTCAGTGGAAGTACTCCCACTAAAGTTAAGTATGTCTATTAAGTGTTTGGAGGCCTGGATCTGAAAGTACCACAATAATAATAACCGTAAGTAAATATTTGTACAGTCTTTCCTTTCTCTAAATGTTTAATTCTTTGAGCATCTTTGGGATTCCTAGCTAAGAAGTCTGTTTTGCAGTATTAAAAGTTTTGGAGCAAATCCATATGCTAGAACTCTAGACCTTGCCAATTTTGATTTACATGTGCAGCAACAGTTTCTGGGTTCTCTGTTTCTGGCTTGTATCCTTGCAACTTAAGATTAGTATGTTGTATTCAACTTCATACAGACAAAGAAAATTTAGTAACTTCACTTACAGCATTATGAAATATAAATGTGTTGGGTTTGGTTTTGATTGAAACCAGAAACAGGACAAATAGCTGCTTATTTGGAAATTCTTAAAGGTAGGTCAAATTTAGAAAAAAGATATTTGTTTTGGAGAGGACAGTGTTTCCAACTCGTCTGGGCTGGAAAACCAGATCTTGACTGAAAACATTTAAATTCTTCTATAGACAGAAATTTGCAGTTAAATAAGTGTAAACATAATTTGACAATTTTTAAGTGTGTTTGTCAGCATAAGCCCACATTTCATTTATAACCACCACACTTTGTTTTAAATATGGGCTTTTTCTCTTATCAGAACCAAAAGGAGACAAGAGGAAGGAAAATGAGTCTTCTTTAACTATGCATTTCACAAGCACACAAACAAGCTATCAATTCTGCTTTATAAGATTCATTTTAAGTCAGAAATGTTGCATGTTAGATGTTCAATACATTTAGAAATAGGTATTTTTTATTACATATTACATGTTTCTTTGTACTCTGCTTCTGCACATGTGACAGACACAGCCCATCAGCATTAGAGTTTCAGAGACTGCCAGAAGTTCACAGTAGATGTGTGTAAAGCACCTACAGCCCAGTTTTAAAGGAAGAAAAACAGCTGGTTTGCAACCAAATTCAATACAGGAGAACCGAAAGCAAGTACAAGCTTGCCACCGTGGTCCCAGCTGTACTCATGGGTACGTCAGTATCAGCTCTGTAGAAAGTGCTGTGCAAATATTAAGGTGAAGCTTATTTCAAAAAGGTGCATTTAAGAGGATCCACTGATTTGTAAAAACGCCCTTTTGCATGCCACACAGAAGTGCATGAGTGAGGGTATGTGAGTGAGGGTCTGTGGTTAACACAAAAGTGGTGAGAGAAATGTGTCATTTTGCACATTTTGGGGGAGGGAGAAACATGGCTGTGGCAAAGGAGCCAACTTCTTTTGGAATAAGAGTCATCTTAATGACAAGAAGATGCATTCATATACATGTGGAGACAAGAATGACTGTCACTGAGTGGATGTTAGCTGTACACATCTGGCCAGGATGCATTGACCATGACCAGAGGAGTTTCACCTCAGTTTAATTTGCTGAGTGTAACTGGTGCACAAATACTATGAAGTGATGGAATTCAATGCAACAAATACATTCATAGTATGTAATTTGTTATCTTCATTCTTAAGTAAACTTGCACTTCAGCTCAACATACAATCTCTCCAAAAGATCTCAGAATTTAATAATAATAATGCTGATATTTGAAATGACAGTAGGAAAGTTAAACAAAATCTAAGATCACAGGAAATACTGCATGACTGCTATTAGATGAATTACACCATCAATTAAATCAAAATCAACTGCCACATTCAGTGTCAGCAACAAAGAGAAAAGAAAGTATCCATTTGGATAAATCTAGATACTATTGCATTCTTAAAAGCAAACACCAAAAAACCAAGTAAAACCATGTTTCACAGTTGCCACAATGTTGTGACAAAAAAAGCCCTGCATCTTGAAAACTATTCTGAAAGTAGAATGAATTGTCATAAAATACTTCTATGCAGTAACGAATTCCCATCTTCTTGAAGCATACAAATGCCAGTTAATTCCAACTCTCCAAGCCCAACATCATAAGAGATCTCCCTTCTCCTGGCTTGCCAGTCCCCCTTCTTGCCACATTTCTGCACAAAAGTTAACATTAGGTCTGATGGAAGCGTTCTTTTGGATGATTCGTATCTTTTCATCAGGCTTCTAGAAAGAGTCTTATGTTTCTATTCTTATAGCTAGTGTTGCAGTAGACAAAAAGAGAAGAAAAAACATCATACAAGACAGGAGAAGATAGGGTTGCCAAAAATCTTTCTTCTTTGCTCCTCACCTTTTCCAGGCTGAGTTGTATTAGACGCTGGGATTGGTTTCCTTTCCAAAAATGAGAAATATAGGACAAACATTAGGATACCTTGCATGACAAAGAGTTACAAAAAGCCTGTCACACCAACAGTCTCTGGGAAATAACCAGAGGAATATCAGTTCTCCTGGTTTTATTTCTTATAATTGAACCCAATCTCTAAAAAGCTTGCACTGGTAACAAAATTCAATCTGCTAGAGTAAAAACCTTCCTTGGAGCAAAAAAGCTGTCTTCTATCCATCTAGCAAATTAATCTTTGCCAAGAAAGTATACATAGCTCAAAAATTAAACAAGATATTTTTGTTCCTAGCTATCCACAAAAGAACATCCTTCAATATTGTTTTGGAAATACTGCAGCACAATTAAGATAGAGCATAAATCTTAGAAAGAATATTTCCTGTAGCCTTTGAAATATTCTAAAGCAGCCTGAAGTGAAAGCAAAGCTCTTCACTGTTGCTTAATGCCAAGAGAATATTCCTGTCCAAGAAACCAATTTATGATTAAGATCTCACAGAAAGCAAAAAGTTCTCTTGTGTTTCAAAGACAGAAATATTACAATGCTTGCATATATTCTGTTTAAAGTAAAAGAGCATGCAGAAAGTATACCCAGTAACTGCAAACAGGCCTTCATGACCTGCTGGGAACGTTAACAGCTTTGGGCCATGCTCAGATTCCAGTTGTCAAAGTGATTTTAAAGTGGAAAGGAAATTTTGGGGCAAAGAAAGGAAAGTCATGAGAGAACACAGAGAAGGGTACAAAGGAGTTTTAATAATTAAGGGCCTCAAAATGCAGATAGTTTATTTCAGCTCTACTATGAGAAAAATGTGGGAAATGAAGCAAGCCTGCAATTTCTCTCCTCTCTACCCAGTCAGGTCGTCTGAAGGAGCTCTTGAAGACAGAGGAAACTGTTCAAAGGTCCTTTTGTGGAGGACCTTGATCTCCCTGACATCTATCAGAGTGCACACTGGCTCAGCTTATTAACACAGAAGCAAAACCATGTTTGCACTAAAGAAGTCAGTAGTCAAATTCCCATTTAATCCCCTGACATTATCAAAGGTACTTCAGGAGTTTATCTCAAGGTATTTGGTAGACACACAAGGTTTCCATTCAGAGTCTGGAAATTCTTGCTTCTTGTCTCAGCATTTGTTCTCAGAACTGGCCTAGTAGATGTGTTTATCTCCCCTTTGATAATGAAGACTTATGAAATGCCACTGGAGCTCTTCATATCCACTTACGGTATTCTCATTTCTGGTCTTTGCATATGTGCAAGTCTGAATCTTCCTGTCTGAGGTAAGGAGATACTATATGTGAGTAAATAACTGCACTGGATCCACAAAAAGATTGAGATCAATTCTTTGCAGTTCAGAAGGCCCCTTCACATTATGACCCCATTTTTTTTTTAGGTGAAACAGTTACAGAGACAAAAGCAAAATAAATACCTGAGGATAAGAGGAGTTATTTCTGAAACTAAATGATGTTTTCAATCTATGCAAGCTGATTACCACAGGATAGACCTGCATTTGTTAGAAATGGAGAAAAGTGAGAAAATGAGGATAGAAACCGTGTCTTCTTTACCAAATATTATGTAATGGTAATTTGATTTTTTAATATAAACAAGAAATAAAGTGATCAAAGTTCCAATCTTAAAAGTCACTAGTATGGAAACAACATTAATGACACAAGGATTCTGCAAAGAGATTTCTAAAAATCATCAGTTTGGTAAATACAAATGTTCTAATTCTGGAAAGCTGGACAGCTGAAACATCATTTAGAAAAATACCCACAGCTAGATTCCAGACATTTTGAAATACAGTCTGTTCTGTACCTACATTTGTGTTCAAGCATTGCCAACTATAATTTTTAAAAGATGCATAAACTGTGTGAGATTAAGTTGATTCAAATGGAAATGCCTCACAACCCCATAGCGAAATTATCATATTAGAGTATTCTCATTCAGTGCCTTGTAGTGAACCACATTTTATG